TTTTCAGGCAGGTACACGGGTGGTGTTCTGGCAACGTGACCTGTAATCACATGTGCAGGTTCTTTGTGGGTTTCCCGTGTGATGAGCTGAAGTGTCACGTGGTAAGGGGTGAATGGAGCTGCAGTGGGCTTCTTACCCAGCAGATGCTGCTGTGGGAAGGCCTGCTTCCCGGCATACTCCACCCTTGCAGGCTCAGTGTTTTCCTTTTTTCTTTGTATCCTTTCTGGGACTCTGGTGACACTCCTGCAGTCTCCTCCCAGCTCAGCCCCCAGGATCAGAAGTATAGGGCTCTCATATTTGTTTCTGATTTTTTTTTCTTGCAGGAGTTTTTTGGTATAACACCGAAAGTGCTTCTTAATACTAGAAAGTGTAAGGATGCACTGCATAGCCAGTGTCTTAAAGAAGAATGGTTATTTTTAAAGGAGGCCCATAGGCTTTTAGTGTTAAATGGCTATTGACTTTTTTCCCCCAGAAGAAACATTGATTTTTCTCTCCCTCTCTGTTTCAGGTTCTGCATTCTTCCCTGGGCGGTGTGCTGAAATCTTTGCCCGGGGTCAAAGCATCGGGAAGCTAGGCGTCCTTCATCCTGATGTTATCACCAAATTTGAGCTGACCATGCCCTGTTCCTCTCTAGAAATCAATATTGAGCCCTTTTTGTGAAGTTGGTCTCGGTTGTATCGTTCTGTCTCTAAGTGTCCCTTTCCCTCCTGTGGTGTCCTTCAGCCCCTCTTATGGGGAATATCCATTTGTGCTTTAATGTTTAATAAAGCGAAATGTGCTGCCTGGCTTCTTGGGTAGCGCATTAGGCCAGCTTGTGGGACAGCCAGTGTGGATCTGTATGCACTGCTGAGTTCTGGACGCAGAACTACTGCTCAGACGTCAGAGTGTCGCTGTGGCTCGTGACTCCGGTATAGCAGGATTCCAGGTTTTCCTTATTAATGAAGCAAGTGATTGGTAAGAACACTCATTGTACATGATTAAGTCTTTTCTACTCTTGACCTGTATAAGTCAATAAAATCAGTACTTTAAGAAAATCTTTAAGAATCAGTTTTGGTCACACAGTGATAGCCTTCCAAGTCATCTCTTGTTAAAGTTTATTTATGCTTATGTGTGAATATATGTGTGTGTGATTGCAGTGTAGTTTGTGTCTATCCTAGTTGGGGTTACGATTTCTGTGTTAAAACATCATGACCAAAAGGAACCTGGGGAGGAAAGAGTTTATTTGGTTTATACTTCCACATCAGAGTTAATTATTGAAGGAAGCCAGGGTAAGAATTCAAACAGGACAGGAACCTGGAGCAGGAGATGATGTAGAGGTCATGGGGAGGGTGTGCTGCTTGCTTGCCCCACGTGGCTTTCTCAGCCTGCTTTCCTACAGAACCCAGAGCCACCAGCCCCACAATGAACCGAGCACCCCCCACACTAGTCACTAATTAAGAAAATACCCAACAATCTTGCCTACAGCCTGATCTTAGGGAGACATTTTCTCAGTTGAGGCTTCTTCCTCTCTGATTACTCTAAGCTTATGTCAAGTTGACAGTAAAAACCAGTTGGCACTCATGTGTGTACATGTGTGTGTGTGTGTGCAGTTTCTAATAACTTAGTAAGATAAGGTTATTAGTGTGTTATGGAATATTCCTTTACACCGTGTGAAAATGTTTCACTGTGATTAGCTAGGTAGGAAGAGGTTAGGCAGCCAGGCAGGAATAGGTTAGGTGGGACTTCCGGGGACAGAGAGGTCCCCAGAAGATGAAAGACAGACACCAGGCTGACACAGATGGGGCAAGACATGCAGGAGGAGAAGTAAAAGCTATGAGCCATATGGCAGCACATAGATGGATAGAAATGGGTTAATTTTAGTTCTAAGAGCTAGTTAGAAACAAGCCTGAGCTATAGGCTGAGCTTTCATAGTTAAAAGTCTGTGTCTTTTTGTGAGCAGCCCAAAGAAAATCTGGCTATACTAGTCCTCATTGGAATACAAATAAAGACCACATTTATACTGTTCATAGTCATTAAAATGGCTAATGTTGGAGCTGAGGTCTTAAGAGCCCTGACTGCTCTTGCAAGTCCTGAATTTATTTTCCATCACCTACATGACAGCTCACAACCATCTATAATTCTAAATTGATGCTCTCTTTTGACCTCCAAGGGCACCAGACACATAATGGTATGCAGACATAATTTGGGTAAAACACCAATACATATTTTTAAAAAAATTTAAGGGTTTATGCTTAAATGATGGATCAAATGTTTGTGGTACAGGTGGGACTGTTGGGTGCGGCTGGTGAGACGTAAAATGATATAGCCAGGAAAGTAGTTGAAACCTGAAACACCATCTAGCTATTTCACCCACATGATCATACAGCAGTTTTTATGCAGATATTCAGTGTTATTTATAGCAGCCACAGACCACAAAGCCCATTTTATGAAGGGCATGCAGTTCTTAAGAGGAATGAACTCCTGATAGCACCAATGGGCCCAAGTTTGCTAAGAGAAAGAAGCCATACATAAAAGATTGCGCGTGGTCCTACTTATGTAGAGATCAGACAGAAGTGGGAGGGGATAACCAGAGATCTCAATGAAAACTCTGGTGCTTCAGTCACTAGGAGACACAGAGCTAGTATTTGTATAGGGCGTAAATGGATGTCTTTATCTTACGGCTTTTTATCAGTGTCGAGTTGAGATGGGTAAGATGGTGTGGGTTTGGGGGGGCTCTGCAAAATATTCTCCCCCTCGAAGCCACCCATATGGTTTCCAGGTGACGGCTGCTGCAGATCACAGGCCCTAGCGACCCCCCTCCTCTTGATTCATGGCTTCCTGGGCACATTATGAAGGAAGTCCTTGTGAGTACAGGTGTTAAAGCCGCATCAGGTTGCCACCCTGCCCCGCCCTCGGTGAGGAGAGGACCGAGTTGGGCTTGTTAGAAGTGTTGGCTTTCTCCAAATACCTTCACTGAGAAGAATCTGGCTTGGCTCCAACCAAGGGAACCCTGGTGTCACAGCAGAAGAGAGAAGCAGCAAGGTTGGCAGATGTGGTGAGCGTGTAAAAAGTGTCACACCCGGAACTCCTGGCGCCACCGTTGCCTTTCTTGTTTGTTTTTGCATGCCACGTAGACAGGCGTGGAGAAGGACGAGGAATTGTTGGCTTCATCTAGCCCCCTTGTCTCATGTGGCTCTGGCTTTTAAGAATTTCACATTCTATTCATGGCCCACATTCAGCTCTCGTTCTTAGTATGCATGCAAGTGTGTGAGTCTGTGCTACAGGTGCGCCCCACTCGGAGAAAACAACGGATGTAGAGTAAGTCCAAACTAATTTATTAAAGTCTTATGTCCGTGAGGAATGAAGACTTGCCATATGACTTTGAAACAGCAAAGCCTTCGGCAGTCTAAGTTTTATACACACAGGGCTGGGCAGATGGCTCCCTGGGTTAGTGGTTGCTATGAAAGCTAAAGAACCTGAATTTGAATCCCCAGAGCCCATGTAAAAGGCATCCTGTTGTGAATCTATGACCCCAATAGTGGGGACAGAGACAGGAAGATCCTAGGGACAAAATACTGAGCCTTGGGTTCAGTGGGAGACTGTCATGCCTACAGTGGGAAGCAATAGCGGAAGACGTGTCAGACGTCCATGCCAGCAGCATCCACACGCATACAAGCAAAACACACACAAATGGCTTTGAGCAGAACAGCGTCTAAAACGAAATGTGCTTGGCTTGGTCCATGTAACCTGTGCTAGAGAAATGGACACAGTCGTCAGAGAGAGGGAGGACAGTTCCCGGGAGATCACAGCAACACAGCGTCCAGTTTGAGGACCCGAGGAGAAGACGAAGGGATGTGGCGTGCACGAAGGACACACAGCTGCTTTGTTTTTAACACATGAGGGGACCTGGGAACAAGTGGTTCAGAGGTGCAGGAGGAAGGTACCATGGACTGAACTCTCTCACCGAGGATGATAGAAGGGGCCTGTAAAGTCACCACATCCGTCACTTGGTTCTTGCAGTGATGTGGTCTGGGTTTTCTCTGTAAGAGCAGGAGGACGTGCCTCCATCCCGCTGGTTCCTAGACAGCATCTTCTTGTACCTTGTCACCCCACTGCTAAGGCAGCCTGGTCTCTTTAAGCCTGGCTCCTGAATAGTCTCTAGAAAGCCTTTCTGGACTGACTCTGGTCTGCACACCCAAATAAAATCCTTTTCTTGTCCTGCCCCACCCCCATGACCTGGTCTTTTTCACACAACTTTGACACTTCAGATTGACTGCAAATTCCCTGAGCCCGTGTCTCCTCTGACCTGGGGGAACTCCACAGCACAGATTGGAACTTTACATCCCTTGGGTGCCCAGCATGGATGAGCGACAAGGATATCCTGGTCACATCACATGTGCCCTTCAGTGTAACTTAGTTTAGCGCTTTAAAGAGAAAACTGAGGGGCTTAAAGACACACAAAGCATGGCAGTGATGCAGATTTGATTCAGGGGCAAGCGTTCAGGTGGCTCAGCCACTAGGGCAGTCGTCGTCCATGAAAACATTTCAGTTCCCTTCAGTTCATACAGTGAGTGGCATCTCCGCACAGGAAAAGGATTCTCTCATTATCAAGGAGTTAGAAGCATACCACCGTGACACACTTCTTCCCTGCCGGAAAGATCTGTAGCCATTGTGAAGCTGCCCAGTGTTTGCACGGAGATGGATTCTGGCAGCTGAAAGTTCTGCAGCTTGTCACTCGTTTCTCTCCACCCTCCCTCACTTCGGGGCCAACAAACCCAAGGAAGACACCCAGGTTAAGAAAAAGCTACCCGGGTAGAGTGGATCACACTGTAATTGCAGCACCTGGGAGGCTGAGGGAGGAGGAGTGACACTTGTTACGTTAAAGACCAGCTGGGAGCTGGACTAACCTGGGCTCTAGGCTATCCTGGGTTATAGAATGAGGCCTTGACTCAAAAAAAAGAAAAGAAAAGAAAAACCAACAGAAACACAACATTAGATTTTAAAGCATTTAACAATCACAGTCAAACAAAAAAAAGAATTTATTTTAAAAATAAATTTACATACAGTGCATAATCGAGACAGCTGAGGGGTTCCAAAATAGAAACCTGAAACATATGGTCTGAACCACATGTTGTGAGAGTCCTGGGAAGATGAGTTGTGTATTTGGGCGAGAAAATCCCATTGCCAGGCACAGCGTGGAATAGTTTTGGTGACTTCCATCAAAGGGTATTGGTTGAAGGGTCTTGCCTACGTCTTTTTCCAGCATATTCAACTATGGTACAGGTCTGAGCAAATACGACACAAAGTCACAGCTGATTAGAAAGCAGATTCTAGGTGAGTGCCTTGGCCTGGAGTAGAAGCAAGAGGGAGAAGGGTGTGTTATTCTTCCCAGTTCATGGAGGGGCCAATATTCCTGAAAGCTTTGGCGTCAAGGTTGGCCTGCGTAGACACATTCTGGACACACTGGTGAGCATGACAAAGGAGCCTTTGGACTTAGACGATCTTAACCAGCAGGGGGCACTCTTTCCCCAAAGAGAAAATCCAAGTGTTTTGATAGGCATCCCAGAGAGAATTTACTAGGCTGAGGTGCTCTGTGAGTCATGAATTGAGAGGGATCAACAAAGGCATAAACAAAAACGTGATCTTTTAAAAAACGTGAACTTTTAAAACCGATACTGTAGGGATCCAAAACCAAACTTGCCATCTCCGGTAACTAATTTCTCCCTCTCTTTGCAGTTAGCAAGCACATCAAAGAGTGACCTGTCCTGACAAATTCTTAGGCCACTGTTTAATGTTGTGTGGCTAATATAGTTCTCCTTCATCTAGACTATGTAAACACGGCCCTAAATGCGTCCATGCAGTTGTCAGCATCCCTGTTGTTGGGACCTAAACTTCTCAAACTCCGCCCCCACTGCTGGGACAATAGACACGGCCCTTCTTTTGCAAAGATGCACACAGAGGAAGCTGAGCCCTTTGTCACCAGGCTCCAGACGAACTAACTAAAATTGTCCTGGGTAAATATTAGCCAGTATTACAAGCTCTAGTTTGGTAGCTGGGGTGGGGAGGGGGAGGGAAGTGCTTCGTTAACAGCTGTGCCCTGGAGCGGCCGAGGACCTGTAAGCCAGGGGTTGCAGCACCCCAGCCACGGAGCTGACATTCCGTCAGAGCTAAATCAGGCAAAGGATGCGCCATTTTGATCCCTGTTCTTAACTATGACAAGTGAGAGAAGAATTAAGTTAAAAATGGGCATTTTGTTAAGAATTATTCTTTTCGTTTGTGTGTTTGTGTTTTCAAGACAGGGTCTCACTGTATAGTCGAGGCTGTCCTGGAACTCCATCTGTGTATCAGGCTGACCTCAAGCTCAGAGATCTGCCTGCCTCTGCCTCCTGAGTGCTGGAATTAAGGGCATGTGCCACCACACCCAGCCCAGGAAATAATCTTGAGAAATTAAAACACTGTCTTGACTACCAAAGAACAGCTTTCCAACATAGGCCTTGGGGCATACCTAACATCAGAGAAAATGTTGGTCTTGGTTTTCACACCGAATGCAGAAGTCGAGCCTCAGTAACTTTTTAAAAGGGGTTAATTTTGTTCAATATGTGTGGCTGGTGATGAACTGTCAGGATCATGGAACTCTGGCTTCGGTGATACTGTCCCGCAAAAGACCCATAGCTATGCATTTCCACTAACTTTTCAGGATGGGTTGATACCTGATCTTTATTCTGAATAGGAGTCAGGGAAGGAGCCCTTTGCTGCTATCATCATAAATTAAACCACCCTAGATCTAAGAAGGACCACGCGAGGTTTAATGCGTATTATAGTTAGTTGGCTTATTTCCCCAAAATAGGCTAAAGTTGTTCTTGCATTAATGGCTCTCAGAATGGCCAAGAAATAAGAGATGGGAAGGCTGAGAGGGGGTCCCTGATTCTGCCTCGCAGATGAACAATTGAAAAAGAAAACTACAGAAGTAGCTAAGTAATGATGAGGTAACATCAGGAGGATGAGGCAATGTCAGGACTGCCTCGCTTCTCTTGGTCAGGCTTCCAGAGGACGAAGCTCATCCATTCCTGTGCTGATCCAGTGCATTCTAAGTTCATCTGGAAGCTTAAACAACCGAAGATGCCGAAAACCAAGCGAGAAAGCGTAGGGGTCTCGGCGTGTTCTTGTGTCTACCTGCGAGGAGGTAGCAGCCTGTCTCGTGTGGCTTAGACGAGTGTACACACTGCAACCTGGGATGCTGCAGACTCTGTGCCAGGAAGATCAGCTTCTTGCTTCACTAACAGTGCCTGGAGGAGACGGGCTGGTTGAGAAAGCAAGCTCTTCCCGGTGGCTTCATAGCTCTGCTGCCCTCTGAGCCCCTTCACGGGAGGCTTTAGTCCAGAACGGTCTCGCTGCCCACTCAGGCACAGTCCAATCACAGCGCAAGATGTCACTCTGTCCGAGGGGTGTGGTTTTCCACGGTCTCACCCTTTCTCCCAGCCCTAGTTCCAGTTTGGGGAGCGAGAGGAAGCATTAGGCAAGGCTGTGACTGAGAGGAAGTGTTCTTGCCTCCATATTACCTCAAGTCTGTTGGCTCTCTAGAGCCCAGCAGGGCTTGTAGCCATTCCAAGCCAGGCCGCCATTCCAGTCCACCCCAGACCTGGTCCTAAGTCCATGTAACAGAAAGGGAATGGGGTGGCCTGCCTGACTTCAGGGGTGGTTTCAGGCTGGAGTCAACGAAACACAGTCTTTATAGACCAATCTCACTGCTGGTGCCACGGTAGTAGGATCTATGTTACATCAGCAAAACAAAAATATGATTTGAGGTTTCCTTAAACAGGAGGGGTGGAGATTGCCCCAACAGACAGCTTTCTCATATCTCACATTAGTGGGTGGGCTCGTTCCCATCTGTTTGGGGCTCAGAGCAATCCCAAAAACCTATGCAACATGGGCACAAAAGTCGTGGCACAGATGCCAACCGACGTGTAGGTGACGAACTTGTAAGGGACCTCAATCTCCAGTCTTCGCCTGGCCTCCTTGTTCCTTGTCACCACCTTGAACCACGAGAACAACACTTGCAGCGAGAGGTTCTGTACCAGCTGACGAACCAAGACGATCAACACAATTCCCACCGTAAATTTCGTCAGCCCTAAAACCAGCATGTCAGTGGTCAGGGGCGGGATGTTCCGGATCACAGGAAGGGACGGGCTGGGCTGGGACACCAGCTGGAAGAAGTGGTTGATCCAGAACCCCAGGGTGACTCCAGCCCCGGCAGCCACGATGGTGGTCGTGTCCGCCCTGGTTGGGCTGTAGAAGTCTGACACCGGGTAGTTGTAGCACAAGAAGAATGGTACGACTATGACACACACAGGGAAGAGGGGGCTGGCCGAGTCCAGGGAGTCGATGAGGGTCCAGGCCGGGTAGGTGAGGGCAATGAGGAAGGCAGTGATCAGCACGCCGCCCAACACATCCTGCCGGGAGAGAAAAGAATGGTGGTTGTTTGACACTTGAGCGACAATCTGTGCTATTCAAAGAAAATATGAATCAAAGGATTTGAAGTGAAAATAGGAGATAATGTGCAGTCACCACGTTACACATGGTACATGTTTTCTTGCAGGAGTGTTTCTGTATTTTAGAATAAATTCTGATTTTTTTTCTGAGTGGTGATAGTCTTGTGGTCATTTACTCTTACTCTGTTATATGTACCTCCAGTCTCAAGAATTCTCCTAGTCTTCACAGATGTGGCACTGTCCATTGTTGGCACAGTCTGAGGGCGCTATACTCTAGTAGTGCATTTTAAAAAAACGAATATTAAACATTACCAACTGGGTGGCCCTTCAGCTCCTTAAACCCTTGTCTAGAATAAAAAACCGCAGGAGAAATGTATACCCCAATAAGTACTGGGCAGTTATAGCAAAGGAAATATACTATTAAATATTTCCAATATTTAAAATTCTCCAACATTAACTCAGAAGATAGATGAATCAGCACACAGGGGAGAAATGAAGCCTGTGTTTCTGTAACAGCTGGTATTTGAGCGTTTATAGAGATTGTATTAATCCCCAAACTGGAGACAACCCCAGATTCTTGACTGCATGAATGGGTAAATAACCTGGGGTATATTTATGTCTTAGAATACTTTTCAGCGATCAAAAAGCAATGAGCTGCTGGTGCATGGCACAGCTTGGGTAAAATCTCCAGGAAACGCTGCTGAATGGAGCAAGCCAAGGGTCACACACAACCTGGCTCTATTTATATGACATTTTCCAAAAGACAAAACCACAGTGACAGAGAACAGTGTCAGTTATTGCCTTGGGGACTTGGGTTATCTTGTGTGACCATAAAGGATGCCAAAAGGCAGTCTGGGGATAATGAAGCTATTCCATGCTGAGATGGTGATTATAAAAATGTATCTGTGCTACAATTCATAAAACGTCGAACCGTTATTACATTATTTTATAAGTGTACGTGCACATGTGTGCGTGCTACGACAGGCCTGTGGAAGTTAAAGGGAGCTGGGTCCTTCCCTTCTACCATGTGGGTCCCAAGGATTTCTCAGGTCCTACAGGTGGTGATGACTGCCCTCCTCCCTGAACTGAAGCCAAAGAGCCATACTTCATATACTTTCTTTATGTTGTTTTTGCTGCAATTTGATATTTTCCTCTGGGCTCATTACAAATGTGTGGCCAAAAAGTCGAGGCTGAGCCCCACATTGTATTTGGATTCTTCCTCGAAGCTCTTGGACTAGTAGCACATTCACTTACAAAACAGGAGGCAGTAGCTTTTTCAGACCAGGATGTCGGAGATATTGGCTACCCGAAATAGAATTTACCCTATTTCTTTCTGTCTTCTTTTGCAATGACAGTCACCAAAGTCTCTGACATCTGGTTGGAATAGTCTTTATAAACTAATTGTGTTCATCTTCAGCCCAAACTAAATTATTTTGGTCCACATCCCCAGCATTTGAGGCAAAAATAATTTTAGCCAACATGATTGAAGATGAAGTTTTTTTTCCTCCCTTCTAGGCTCACATTTGGATTTTCATCAATGAAAGTGGATACTATAATATATTTACGTATTTGTAAGAAAAATACTTGAGCCATAACTAGTGAGATTTCCAAGTTGGGGACTGTAGATTTTTTATAACAAAATTATTTTAAAAATAGTTCTAAATAGAGGGACTGCAAATGCGTTAAATTTTCTTTTATGATTTACTTTTATTTTATGTGCATTGGTGCTTTGACTTCATGTATGCCTGTGTGAGGGTGTCAGATCTCCTGCACCTGGAGTTACAGACAGGTTTGAGCTGCCACCTGGGATCTAAGAATTAAACCCCGGTCCTCTAGACGGGCAGCCAGTGCTCTTAACCACTGAGCCATCTCTACAGCCCCTAAATTTTATTTTTAAATAATCTATTTCTTCTTATTTCCTTCCTTCCTTCCTTCCTTCCTTCCTTCCTTCCTTCCTTCCTTCCT